TGCGACACACCGGTCACGTGCTAATTACCTCCGGCCGCTCGCTGACTGATGCTGACGTCATGGTGACTCGTATACGTCCGCACCTTTGGTATTTTGATGGAAACGAGGGGGAGTGAGTGTTGGAGGTTGGGCATGAGGACGACACCCCTCGATAGAAGCATCCGCGGGCCCCGGAGCTAATTCATCTAGACGTCGCATTGGTTAAGTCGCTCCGGAGCTCCTGTTTGTGGAGATAAATCGCGGAATGGGTCCGTGTACGCCTCGAGGATGCTACAAAGTCCGGAGCTAAAATAGAGCAAGTCTTTAGAGCCCATAGAAGCCTAGAGGCATGTGAGCGCTGTGTCAAATAAGCTCCGGAGGGCTTGTATGATGCACTGAGTCCGCATTTTCGGGGGTCAGACAATCCTGAGGCTTATCACCGCGTAGAACTATCTCTCTCTTGGATGAGGGGGATAACCGACCTTCATCTTCTGAGCAAATGTCTGTTTTGGCTTGCCTGCCAGGTACTTGGAGACATACACCTTACCCGTCTCCTTACTTTTCTCTTCTGCTGCACAATGAAGCAAGCTGAACGGAACGGTCACCATTCAGTACAACCGACTACATCTATTTTCCCTTACAATGGGGCATCTACCAACAGAGTAAGTTCACTTCCGTGTGTCACCATATGCATATTGAGACACATGTTTCTGGAACAAGCAAGACATGGAGGAGTCCGGTGAGAGCACCAAAGATGGCCATGAGATAGCTGTGGAGCAGAGTCAGTCAAGAATGGATGGATATCATCCGGTAACGTCTCACAACACCCAGTGGTAGTATTCACCTAAGTAACCACCAGCGATAGGACCTGGCGCAAGTTAGCAGGGCACTTCAATAAGAATAACAAGATAATGGGGGAAAGGTGCATACCTATAACAGGCTACTATCAGGATGAACTTCACTTGAGTAAGAGCTACGTGTTCACTTACCCCCAAGAACGGCATACTAGCAAATAAGCAAATACCTGTTTCAATAGATGTTCAGTTGGGTGATTAATGCCATGAACATGTAGCGTATTCTTACCTCCAAAGCCAGACCTTTTCTATCAGCATTGAACATATCTGCAATAATCCCACCTGGATTAACTAAGGCACTACTGCTGAACATCCCTGGCAACAGATTCACCGAGTGATTAGCATACTACTGACACCAAGGGTGACTAGGGCAAACCTTGCAAGAAGTGCAGGATGAGAAAGCCGGTGATATTGTGCGCCCCTCCACAAGCACCTCCGAATCTGTGGAAGTATGAGCACAGGGTTTCCTCCAGCTTCAGAAAATACATACACAATGAAAGGAATGTATGAGACTATGAAAACATGGCTTCATCCAAATTCCTCAGACAGTGGCGCCCAAAGGAGGGGACCAAGTGCAAAGCCCAGGACAAACAATGAGATGCCAAGGGCAATCACCACCTCCTTAGCATCGAGTGAGATGTCAAGGGCAACCACCACCTCCTTAGCATCGAGGGTCCACTGGATTTCATGTGTCACACTGCTGTACGCTGAGGACGAGAACCCCACGGCAAATGTGGCTAGTGTGATGATGCTGACTAGTGATGCCGCAGTCCGGTTCCCGAACCTGGGAGAACCGGGTCGAACCTCGGACCGGACCCAGGTTCTGGTCCGCGGTCCGGCTTTGGGGTGGACCGAACCTGAAATGAGGTCCAGAATGCCCGAACTGTACCTAAATATGGTAATTTTGAAGGGTTCCAACCGGAACCTGACCGAACCCAACGCCATTTCAGGTTCTTTGAGGTTCACAGTCCGGACATTCACCCGAACTGGACCTTGGGTCCGGTCCCAGGTCCGGAAATTTGGGCAAATAACTGGATGGTGATAAGCCTCAGGATTGTCTGACCCCCGAAAACACGGACTCAGTGCATCATACAAGCCCTCCGGAGCTTATTTGACACAGCGCTCACATGCCTCTAGGCTTCTATGGGCTCTAAAGACTTGCTCTATTTTAGCTCCGGACTTTGTAGCATCCTCGAGGCGTACACGGACCCATTCCGCGATTTATCTCCACAAACAGGAGCTCCGGAGCGACTTAACCAATGCGACGTCTAGATGAATTAGCTCCGGGGCCCGCGGATGCTTCTATCGAGGGGTGTCGTCCTCATGCCCAACCTCCAACACTCACTCCCCCTCGTTTCCATCAAAATACCAAAGGTGCGGACGTATACGAGTCACCATGACGTCAGCATCAGTCAGCGAGCGGCCGGAGGTAATTAGCACGTGACCGGTGTGTCGCATG